GACTTGGGTTCGTTGAGGGACCAAGTCTATCCCCATCACAGAGGGGGCAATGGTGGTGCAGGTTTTTGTCTGCTTGTGTGCTGTTCTTCACCCGTGTGGATGATGCCTGGAGGTCTTACCTTGTGTGGCTCTCTGCTGGGTGAACGAAGGTAAGGTCGCGGGAGTTTCAGTTCTTGTTTTATGATCTGAGGAGGCTTCACCAGTGCCATGTTCTCTTGTTTCCCTTCCCGGCACGAGCTGTGGGTAGTGGTGTCCTGTAGACGAGCTTGTAACTTGAGCCAGGAGGCCTGGAATATTTGATCCAGCTGCCTCAGTGTGTAGGCATAAGTGTCGCTGGTTGCCCCTTTGGTTACAGTCGTGCCATGTGCATTTTTGCAGGCTGCGTCCGCCATCTTGGGATTTTGAGCCGCACTGTGTGTTTTGCTCTGTGGACTAGGAAGGCAACGCTGGTGTAGCTGGCTGCTCTCCAGGGGGGACCGGGATATCCCCCACCGGTCCAGAGGGGGGGAGGGGGTTTGAAAATCGCGTGCAGGGCCGCCATCAGGGGGTGACTACCATAACGGTTGTCATGGGCCCAGCGCCCTGGGTGGCCCACACTCTAAGGGCCACCCGATGGGCCCTATATCTTCAGGGGCCCGGTCAGCGCTGTGGCCGTGGTATAGCGCAACCGGGCCCCTTTAAAAAAAAAAAAAAGCAGCCGCAAGTGCTGCTGGGAGGAAGTGGTCACTTCCTCCCAGCTCACTCCGCGCGGGAGGAGCGAGCGCGCCAGTGAAGAGGGAGAGCCAGGCAGTGAAGAGGGAGCCGCGCCGACTCCCATCAGCCCCAGCCACCCTCCTGCAAAGAAAAGGTAAGAGACAGGAGGGTGGCTGGTAAATGAGCTGTGTGTGTGTGTCTGTATGTCTGTCTGTATGTATGTCTATATATGTCTGTATGTCTGTCTGTCTGTATGCATGTATGTGTATGTATGTATGTCTGTATGTCTGTCTGTCTGTATGCATGTATGTGTATGTATGTATGTCTATGTATGTCTGTCTGTCTGCCTGTCTGTATGCATGCCTGCCTGTCTGTATGCATGCCTGCCTGCCTGCCTGCCTGTCTGCCTGCCTGTCTGTATGCATGCCTGTCTGTCTGTCTGTATGCATGTCTGTCTGTCTGTCTGTATGCATGCATGCATGCCTGTCTGTCTGTATGCATGCATGTCTGTCTGTCTGTATGCATGCATGCATGCCTGTCTGTCTGTATGCATGCATGCCTGTCTGTCTGTCTGCATGCATGTCTGTCTGTCTGTCTGTCTGCCTGTCTGTCTGTCTGTCTGCATGCCTGTCTGTCTGTCTGTCTGTATGCATGCCTGTCTGTCTGTCTGTCTGTCTGTATGCATGCCTGTCTGTATGTCTGTCTGTCTGTCTGTATGCATGCCTGTGCGTCTGTCTGTCTGTCTGTGTATGTATGTCTGTTTGTATGCATGTGTATGTATGGCTGTGTATGTATGTATGTCTGTATGCATGCATGTATGTCTGTATGCATGCATGTCTGTATGCATGTATGTCTGTCTGTATGTCTGTTTGTCTGCATGCATGCATGTCTTTGTATGTATGTCTGTCTGTGTGTGTGTGTGTATGTCTGTATGTCTGTCTGTATGTCTATGTATGTCTGTCTGTATGTCTATGTATGTCTGTCTGTCTGTATGCATGTATGTCTTTGTATGTATGTCTGTCTGTGTATGTCTGTATGTCTGTCTGTACGTCTATATATATATGTCTGTATGTATGCATATGTCTGTGTATATATGTCTGTCTGTATATGTATGTATGTATGTCTATGTATGTATGTATGTCTATGTATGTCTGTCTGTATGCATGCATGTCTGTATGTCTGTGTGTATGTCTATGTATGTCTGTGTGTATGTCTATGTATGTCTGTCTGTCTGTATGCATGCATGTATGTCTATGTATGTCTGTCTGTATGTATGTATGTATGTCTGTATGTCTGTCTGTCTGTATGCATGCGTGTATGTATGTATGTCTGTATGTATGTCAATGTATGTTTGTCTGTATGTCTATGTATGTATGTCTGTCTGTATGTCTCTGTCTGTATGTATGCATGTTTGTCTGTGTATGTATGTCTGTCTGTATATGTATGTCTGTATGCATGTCTGTATGTATGCATGTATGTCTATGTATGTATGTCTGTATGGATGCATGTCTGTGTGTATGTCTATGTTTGTATGTCTGTCTGACTGTATGCGTGCATGTATGACTATGTATGTATGTCTGTGTATGTATGTATGTATGTCTGTATGTATGTGTATGTCTGTCTGCATGTATGTCTGTCTGTATGTATGTCTATGTATGTATATATGTATGTCTGTTTGTCATTATATATGTATGTCTGTATGTCAGTCTGAATGTATGTCTGCATATCATTATGAACGTATGTATGTGTGTATGGATGTCTGTATGCATGTATGTCTGTCAGTATGTCTGTATATATGCATGTATGTCAGTCTGAATGTATGTATGTCTGTATGCCATTATGAATGTATGTCTGTGTATGTCTGTATGCCATTATGAATGTATGTGTGTATGGATGTCAGTGTCTGTATGTATGAATGTATGTGTGTATGTATGTATGTCAGCGTCTGTATGTATGTATGTATGTGTCTTTATGTCCTCATGCATGTGTGTCTGTATGTATGTTAGTATGTGTCTGTCTGTCACTATGTATGCCTGTGTGTATGTCTCAGTATGTGTGTGTCAGTATGTATGCCTGTATGCGTGTATGCCTGTTTCAGTATGTGTGTCTGTTAGTATGTATCTGTGTCCTTTTGTATCAGTGTGTGTGTGTGTATTCCTGTGGGCGGTATTTGGAGGCAGACCCAGTGGGCGGTATTTGGAGGTGGGCCCCAGGCGGCCCAGACCCTGAGCTGAGTTAGGGGCCCCAAAATTTCTGGTGGCGGCCCTGGTCGCGTGTATAGTCGCTTAGTTCAGCGGGAGGAAAGCGGCCATTTCTCCCCCGTTCTGACTCCAGTAGGCCTCAACCTGCTGCAGTTCTCGATGCCTGAGAGCGTCGCTAAAGGTACTCACAAGTAGATTAGGGTGCCCCTAGCATGGAAGTCAACGTGAGCAGAGGATTCTGAGTTGTCAGCCCGGGATTTCACTGGGTAAGTGGCATTTTCATGGCAAAGAACTCTCTGAGGATCTGAAAAAAAGAATTGTTGCTCTACATAAAGATGACCTAGGCTATAAGAAGATTGCCAAGACCCTGAAACTGAGCTGCAGCACAGTGGGTAAGACCATACAGCGGTTTCACAGGACAGGTTCCACTCAGAACCGGCCTCACCATGGTCTACCAAAGAAGCTGGGTGCACATGCTCAGCGTCATATCCAGAGGTTGTCTTTGGGAAATAGGCGTATGAGTGCTGCCAGAATTGTTGCAGAGGTTGAAGGGGTGGGGGTCAGCCTGTCAGTGCTCAGACCATATGCCGCACACTGCATCAAATTGGTCTGCATGGCTGTTGTCCCAGAATTAAGCTTCTTCTAAAGATGATGCACAAGAAAGCCCGCAAACAGTTTGCTGAAGACAAGCAGACTAAGGACATGGATTACTGGAACCATGACCTGTGGTCTGATGAAAAGAAAAACTTATTTGATTCAGATGGTGTCAAGCGTGTGTGGCAGCAACCAGGTGAGGAGTACAAAGACAAGTGTGTCTTACCTACAGTCAAGCATGGTGGTGGGACTGTCATGGTCTGGGCCTGCACGAGTGCTGCCGGCACTGGGGAGCTACAGTTCATTGAGGGAACCATGAATGCCAACATGTATTGTGACATTATGAAGCAGACCATGATCCCCTCCCTCCAAAGACTGGGCCGCAGGGCAATATTCTAACATGATAACAACGCCAAACACACTTCCAAGACGACCACTGCCTTGCTAAAGAAGCTGAAGGTAAAGGTGATGGACTGGCCAATCATGTCTCTGGACCTAAACCTTATTGAGCATCTGTGGGGCATCCTCAAACAGAAGGTGGGGGAGTGCAAAGTCTCTAATATCCACCAGCTCCGTGATGTCATCATAGAGGAGTGAAAGAGTACCCCAGTGGCAACCTGTGATGTTCTGGTGAACTCCATGCCCATGAGGGTTAAGGCAGTGCTGAAAACTAATGGTGGCCACACAAAATATTGATGCTTTGGGCAAAATTTGGACATTTCCACTTAGTGGTGTACTCACTTTTGTTGCCAACGATTTAGACATTAATTGCCGTGTGTTGAGTTATTTTGAGGGGACAGCATATTTACACTGTTATACAGGCTGTACACTGTCATATTCACTGAAAACTTTTACCTTTCAGTCAATTAGTTCCAGTAGCAATTCCTGTTTTCCGCCTCTAGTGGCCTCACTAGTCACTAGTCAACCAAAAACACTTTCACTTGAATAGCATGATCATCTAAACATGCTATAAGAGGCCACACCCAACTTCAAAGGGTGCCTTTACATTGATTGATGTTTGTGCCCTGAAGTGGACAAGACTTCTTATCCTGGCTCCTACTCCGAAATCCTGATACTATCTGAACCATCCTAATTCATCCTTTTCAACTTGCCTCACTTACTGAACACTGCTTAACCAACCTGAAGATCCTGATTGTCTATTCCTACCAGCTTTAGTCAATAATGGATTTTGTTTCACTATTGCTTCGTTCCTACAAATAACCGGTAACTATTTAACCAATTTGGATATCCTGATCTTCTGTTCCTACCAACTTTATTCAAATACTGGACTTTGATTTATTATCGAAAAAGCCTGCTGTAGAATCTCCAAGCTAAAGAGTAGGGATGTGCATGGGCATTTCCGAAATTCGGGACTTCGGCAATTTGGCACTTCGGCACTTCGGTTCAGCACTTCTGAAATTCAGGACTTCAGCAGTCTGAAATTCGGGACTTTGGCGCTTTGGGAATTCCCTAAGTTTAACCCTAACCCCAGCCCTACCCCCAACCTAACCCCAACCCCACTCTACCCCCAAACCTAACCCCAACCCTACCCCTAACTCTACCCCTCTGGTGTGGTAGGGTTAGGGGTAGGGTTGGGATTAGGTTTGGGGGTAGGGGTAGGGTTAGATTCCTGTCATCATTCCCTTAATTTTTCCTCCCTCTCCTGTTTTGCCATTTTTCAGAAATCAGAAGCACTACGGCACTACCGAAATTCGGCACTTCGGCAATTCGGTTCAGCACTTCGAAATTTGGCAGTTCAGCAATTCAGACATTCGGAAGCATCCGAATGTCTGAATTGCCGAAATTCGTAAGAATTTAAATTCGGACCAAAATGAATTGCACATGTCTACTAAAGAGACTGATCCTCTAAACGTCAAACTTATCAGTGTTACTTGTTCCTTTATACTGTTGTTTAGTTGTATATAATTGTCATGTAACCTATAATTTCTATTATAGGTTTTCCTTCTCTTCTCCTTCATACTCCCCTATAATTTGGTTTATAGGTTCTCCTTTGTACTCACCTATAATTTCGTTTATAGGTTCAACTTCTACTTCTCTCCCACAGCTTGTATCCTGATAACCTGCTTAAGGCATATTGCCTAAACCTCTGTTTCTGTCTTTCCTTATATTACCTATAATTTTGTCTATCGGTTCTCCTCATACTCACCTTTAATTTTGTTTATAGGTTCTACTTCTATTTATCTCTTACCACCTGTATCCTGATAACCTGCTTAGGGCGTATTGTCTAAACCTAAGTTTCTATTATCTCCTTTCATCTGTATTGTTTCCTTTTCCCTTAAGTTCTTCTGCTCTCATTATTTTCTTGTCAAATAATGTCTAAAGTTCAAAATAAAGAACATAAAGTTAACCCTGTCATAAGTTTCTTGTCTGACCCGATGCAAAACCCGACATACACTTACGACTTTACATTGTAGCAGAGTGTAATTTCTTCAGTGTTGTCACATGAAAAGATATAATGAAATATTTACAAAAAATATGAGGGGTGTACTCACTTTCGTGAGATATTGTATATTTTAAATGAAGTATATTTAAAAAAAATGAGAACTGCTCCATCTCTTTAGTATATGACAGGATCCTTCAGCCACATACATGCACCTTGGGTCAGACAGTGTTTGAAAACCAACTGTTAGTCTCTATGGTCTTCCCTCTTGTGTGCAGGGAGTGAAAATATAGATACTATAAGTTTCCAAGCACTGTTTAACCTAGGGTACATGTATATGGCTGAAGGATCCTGTCATATACTAAAGGGAATTTCATGTTTGTTTTTTTCATAGACTTCATTTAAAAAAAAAATCTATTTCCTTTCAAAACTTGATGAATGGATTATTATATTAAAAAGATAGTTTTGAGGTGACAGTTGTCCTTTAAAGTGGCTCTGTATCCACCTTGTCACTTTTAAATATTCCATAAAAATAAGATATAAAATAATACTGACTGTGTTAAGATTTCGCCCTCCTATATCTGTTAAAGCAGCTATTATTATATGATAAATAAGATATTGGTCCTTTGGGAGGTTATTGGGGAAATTATGCAGTAAAAAAACAATCTGGCACAAGGGAGATGCCAGTACTAGATGTAATAAATCCTGCAATCGCTTTCCAAAAAACTGTTAATTTGAGTTAGGCCCACCAAATATGCACCATAGTGTCAGTGAAAACAACAAAGTGCTCTGTGCTTAAAGGCGCTTAGACAAATAGAAAAGTGCAAAGTGATAGCAGCATCCAGACAAACATAGGGACACCCCACCCTACTATAACAGAATATACAATTAATTAGTAAATGGTAAGGAAAGGGCGCAGTGCTAAAATTAGTGTTACACTTACCCCATGAGGTTAAAAAATGACAACACTGGAAAGATAAACAAAAAACACATATAGTTTAACACCGTTGGTAATTAGTCAGTGGACTAATATAAAAAGAATCCACTCACATGTGTAAGAGCCCAGTATGGATAGGCTCAAATCACTTCAGCTTTAGTGCACTCTGGTGACACTCATCCTTTTCTTTTGGAGTATAGGTGGGCAATATTCTCATGTAGTGGGAGACAAAAAGAGGGGAGACAGGGGGCAAAGCCAACCCTAGTGCATTAAACTAACAGTCACAGATTACAACTGTAGTGCACAGTTTGCTTCTCACCTTTCAAGGTGCCTGGACCTGGCCCCTGCTATATAGATAGATGTATCAATTAAGGGAGATAGAACCCTTCTTTACTCAGCAGCAGCAATAGCAGATGATCCACAGGACACTGTTCCAAACAGTATAACGAAAATGTATTAAATTAAACATACCTAAGGAACATCCAAATGGTTCACACAGAGACGCGTTTCACCAGTCACAGCCCGGGTTTATCAATCGGTATTATGTTGCTTCTGATCTATGTTTAAATATGTGGGGAAATAAAGGGAAGGATAGGCACACTAGAATCTAGCCATAAATATACTGAGCCCCAAATAGTGAACTAATAGGTAATGCTTTCCCTTAACTAGGTGTATGGTTGATCCGCTAAATATAGAGGCTAGTCATTTCATTTAGTAGTCTAGAGAACTGGAGGAGTATGCCTAAAGAACTTATTGTGACGAGGTATATATTAACACAGGATGGAGAATATGGGGAAGGTATACTAAGGGGTGCGTTCCATATACAACAATGGAGAACTTAGCCGAACCTTAGGAATGTTATAGAGTGGATATACTTAATCCTCAATGTCCCCTAAGTCCACCCCATACAGTGCCTCAAAGTAAACACAGTAGCATAGATTTCGACTAAAGGTGGGTAAAAGTACTTTCCACTGGTCTAGCTTTCAGTCACTGTTTCAGGTATATATTTGCACAGGATAGAAGCTATGGGGCAGATATACTAAGAAGTGCGTTCCATATCCAACAATAGAGATTTTAGCTGAACTTAGTACAAGTCCTCAAAATAACTTCAGTAGCGTAGGTTGCAACTACAGATAAAGATACTCTCCAGTGGTCTAGCTGTCAGGGCAGCCTGTTCTAAAAATCACTAGGTGTAAGCTATATACAGAAAAAGACACACTGGGTTTCTCTAAACTGATCAGCTGACAAACACTGCTTTGAGGCAGCCTATGCTAGATCAACTGAATAACTCCTAAAATGCGTTATTAGATGACAGGTAAAGTAACCTCTGCATATCCCATCAAAAGTGCCCCAGAAAATAAGAAAAGTGCAGTTTAAAAGTAAAAAAGGTTCTCCCATGATCACTAACACCACAGAATGTCCCAATTGCAACGCCAAGCAACATCACTATTACCCAGCTAGACCGCTCACGGCAGAGATGCGAGATTTATACCCGAATCGATCCCTAGCAATATAAAATAATAAAACCCTCAGCTCCTGGGCTATGTTACTTTGAGATGCACTGTAAGACTACCTGTTGACACTAACGGATGCTTTGTCTGAAATCTCTCTTGTTATTTACCTGTATGACCTCTCATGTTCAAGAGCTGTGAATAAATAAAGAATTTTTAAAAAGTAAAAAAGGTGCATCAGCCCAAATGGCTCACTGTGGATAAATGTGTTCCCACAGTGCCATAAACAAATTAGCATAACTGGGCGCGCAGTTATGCTAATTTGTTTATGGCACTGTGGGAACACATATTTATCCACAGTGACCATAGATGGGGTGCGAATCTCGTGGTCTATCGCCGTTACATAGATGATATATTTTCTATGGAAAGGTGACGAACAATCATTATACAGGTTTTTAAGCCATTTAAATTGTAATGATTGGGGCATTACACTAACCAGTAAGTTTAGTAAAACATCAGTGGATTTTTTTAGACCTTAACATTTATGTAGAAGGCAACACCTTGAAAACTTGCACTTTCTTTAAAAAGGTAGACGGAGAAGAGTTACCACTTCTCTCCGTGGCAACCTAAAGAACAATTATTGCGTATTAAACGTAATTGTACTGATGATTTAAAGTTTCAAGAACAAGCAAGCAGAATAATCAATGATTGTAAAGAAAAAAGATACCATGATGAACCATTACAATCAGCATATAATGAAGTAAAAAATAAAGATAGGGAAGAGCTAATTAAATATAAAGATAAAAGTACCAATTTAAATCACCAACACCTTAATTTTATTTGTGACTTTAGCTACAAAACTAGACAATATAAGAATATTATAAATAAATATTGACCAATTTAAAAAAAAAAATGATAGCATTTTAAACAGTATATTCCCTGATAAACCTATAATAACCTATAGGGGGGTGCAAAATCTGCGGAGCAACCTAGTTCATAACCATATACCATTAAAGACGACTAAAAATAGGTTCTTTAAGTAATCAAATGGATTTTATGGTTGTGGCACAAGTGGGGCTTGTAAGAACACCAATAGCAAAAAAATGATGAATTAACAAATTTAATTACCCACAAGATAAGAAGAAAAGTTTTAAGATTAAACAAATGATTACATGTCATTCCACTAAAATAACCTATATGTTAAATTGCCCATGTGGTCTAACACATATAGGCAGAACCTCTAGGGCTCTTCATATTAGAAATCAGGAGCATGTGAGGAACATTGGAAAGGGGTTTGAGAAACAGTGTTTCTCTACATTTTAAACTTTAACACAATAGTGATCCTCTACAAATGCAATTTCTTGGAATTCCAAAAATAACTATGAATTGGAGAGGAAGGGATTTAATTAAAAGCAGAGGTCAAGTTGAGGTGCAATGGATTTTTAATTTAAACAATATGCAACCACATGGACTAAATGATGATATTGAATTATGCCTATTTTTTATAATTCATTTTTTTGAAATCAAGTTTTATGTAATGGACTTTATGTACAGATTTTAATACTGTTATCTATATGATTTTTGCGTAAAATATGGAGAACATCATTTATGACAATGTGGAATTATCTAATTTGCATCTCCATAGAGTTCTTAGAGGAATCCCACCAATTGAAGGGATTATTCTATGTATTTTATTCATATTTTAAATTTTGAATATTTGTGTTTTATTAGTTCTTATCTCACCCCTAACATTTTGACTTATTAATTTATCTTTGCATTTTGTTGGTTATAAGTACAATGTATATAGGTCTGATTGTATAGGGCTATTACA